TTAGAAACAGGAATACGACACAACTGCTAACAATCTCCTAGTTGATACATTCGGAGCTCACTACTAACAGAACAACCGAGTTCCCATATTGCTGTACAAAAATAAATTAATCATACCGGGTAGAAATGTAGGTTATACAATGTATCTGAGATTCATATACCTGTTGAGACATGGATTAAGGAGGAGTATTTATTGACAGACGGCAAAAGTGATGCCCAAATTTATCAAAGCATCAGTCCAGCTGAGATTATAAAAGAAAAGTAAACTGGCGAGCTTTAAATTTTTTCCACTTTTGAATCGGGCTTCAATTATTATCTATTTTCCAGCTTACATTCAATTATTTCATCTCTGGACCCTTTTAGTGCCAGGCAGAACATTCTCTGATCAAAAAAGGTGCAAGAATATGGAAGTTCATAGTAAGAAATTCACTCAGCAAGAACTGCCCAAGTGTTATTTTCACCCTGTCAGACAAATACATCCCTTTAATTATCCTCATTCACCACTCAAGGAAATAGTAACTCATCCCAACTTCCCCTCTGACACTGCCTCCGGGCAATGGCCAAAAGGAAAATCGAACCTCTGTATACTTTTATGAGAATCGTGAAATGTTACCTAGAGTCATCCAAAGACCTCCTTAATTGGGTAATTTCAAGTCGCAAGTTCTTCATTATTCTCTCCACAGTTGAAGCCTGAGAATAAACATCATAAAAATTAGACCTCTCGTTAGCACTATGAAGCAATGCACCTTATCCCTCTGTGGCACTCAGTACAGACAATAGTTGATAATTAGAGCTTCTTAATAGAGCTTTATGTGTGTGTGCACATCGGTGTATGAAATGTGCTTGTCTGTAAGTGGGTCACAACCTGTTTCATTCCAACAAAAGTCATCTAAATAAAATAGCATGAGCAGTGTACTACTGTATGGAAGAGCTAAGCCAGAGACTGATGTCTGGAAGTGTTATAAGCATGGCAACATCTTGCGTGCAGTCTCTATAGAGAAAATTTGCAAAATTAAAATTAGCAACTTCTCGTTAATGAAAATATTTTTCTTACAAACGTCTGCAGAAACATTCTGGTACAATTTTTTACAAATATAAATGAAGAACCGAATGAACAAGAGTCAACATTTTTCAGACAAGAAAACATAGCCAACACTACATATTTTATTGACCAGGAATGAAAATCAGGACCTTACCAAACTAACAGCCTCCTCTTCACATTCACTACTATCCGATTTAGGAGCTAAATTAGCAGCAGAGTTTTCAGGTGACAGTTCATTTCCTCCAGTTCCGACTATAAAGCCAAAACCTACTTTCTGCAAACTTCTTTCAGCAATTTGCAAGATAGCCCCTCTCTTCTGTTCATTGTTCCCCTTTAGCTTATTTAAGCTCTTCTCCGCTGCTTCTTTTTCCACTAGGGCGATCCTCAGTAAGTTATTGATATCTCTGTTCTCCTCTGTCAGGCTAACTAAACTACTCTCAAGTTCCCTCTTTTCTTTCTTCCTTTTCTCCGTAAATTCATCCAATTTCAGTTCAACTTTACTTAGTAACTCCAAAATCCCCTTGAATTCCAACCCCAAATCCCCATTTAGCTCCAATTCATTGCTGTGCTCTTCCCCTTCTACATCTAAACGATCAACTACCCTAGCCAAACCTTGCTTAATCATGCCCAATTTTTGGGAAAAATACTGATTTTTTTCATTCTTCTCCTTCAACAGCTCCTCGAGTCTGTCTTTACAACTTTCAAGTTCCTCCTTGATTTCTTCTTTCTCCCGCACCCCCTCAACTTCCTGCTCCCTCGAAGAGGCCTCAAGCTTAGTGAACTCATCGCGCAGGGAGTCTCTTTCGCTCGATAACTCTTTAATGGCCTCCAAGAGATCAGCTTTTTGCTTAAAAAGCTCTTCTTTTTCTTGATTGATCTGGGCTACCTTTTCCTCTTTCTCTGTGTAGCTAGATTGGAGGGTTTGATATGATGCACGAAGGGATTCAATCTCGGCGACCATAGATTCATTTTCTAACCGTAGCTCCTGAAGATCATGGGAGAAGTTTTCGGTTTCAATTAATGGCCCTGAATCTTGGCCACTGATGTCATTCCCCAAGGTTGGTTCCATGCTGTCAATGATACGAGTTCGGGTGTGTTCCTGTTAGCTGGGAAGACCCAAAAGGACGAATTTAAGGGGGGTTTTCGGGGAGAGAGAGGGATCAACAGAAAACTCGAACTACCAGTCAAGACTCAGGAGAAGGAAATGCAGGTGGGATATACTGGCAGCACATGTACGACAGAGAATGGACCGGGGTCTCTCAAAATTGTCAATCACTCATAAGTGGGTTTTGGCGGGGAAAGGGTTACAGTTTGGTAAATTTATTGAAGAAGGGGGGAAGCTGTTGCAAATTATGGTGAACTCCCCTCAAGTATGGATGCGGTTTGTTTAGCCCCCCAGAAACAAGGGTGTAGCAGGTCAAATCGCTCGTGAGTAACTTGTAAATGGCTTAATCAAAAGTTTGACTCGAACTAAGTTTGATCGAATCTGAGCTTGAGTTCGAGTTACTTGTACCGTGTAATGAGTCGAGTTCGAACATCAGTAATAGCTACTCGAGTACTCAATGGACTTAATCAAGTATTTATATTATTTATACATTATATATTTTAATTATGGAATGACTATTATGGATTCTTGTTTTAATAAATTTACATTAGATAATGTTCAATAAAAAAAATGATGGATGGCAAAATGATAATTTGATAAATTTAAAATGTAATAAAATTAAAAAGAAAAAAGAAAAACTCGAGCTCAAGTTTGATAAGGTTTGCAGTTTACTTGAACTCAAATGAATTGAGTTTGATCTTAATTTCCATTATATCAAGCTGAATTCAAGCTCAAATTTTTCAAATTCGAGTAACATTGATAGTGATCAAGTTCGAATTCGAGTATGATACTGCTCAAATTTGACTCACTTCAATGGCATTCTTACCCTGAAATAGGATCACTCCTGTAAGTTTCTTTTTTTTTTTTTTTTGTTAGTTATGGCATAAATTAAACTATCCTTGTAGAGTACTTGTCTAACCAACTTGACACCTTGATTTTTTGTACCTTATGAGCTATTTTTCTAGTCAAGTACTAGGGTTTTGGAGATTAATTTTGGCATTTTCAGTGTTTTTATAGTTGCTTGTCTAGTTTTGGCTTGATGTGCTAAAATCTTGTTTAACAATCATATTGGAACTAACCTTTGGAGGGGGGAAAGAAAGGAGCTAATATATTGTTCAAATATGGGTTGTAGTACTTTTATCTTTATCTGAGATAAAAAGAATAAATTTTCTATACAATTAAATTCAAAGAGTAAATGATAATTTAAAAAATTTTTAGGCCAAGGTATTAAATTTAAACAAAAATGAAAATGCAAATTTAGAAAAGTATCTAAAACCATTTATTTTAATAGCCTTTTATTTTTCTTTTTCCAATTCATATTTTATGAAATGATTAAATATTGTGGGTGTCTATCTCATCCCTTGGATGGTAACAAATTTTCACGTTTTACAATTTTTGAGGTTACAGAGATGGTACGACTTTCAATAAAATTATTACAACTTTCGATAAAGTTGGCACTACAGTCAATAAAACTATTACATCTTAAGAGAATATTGTATCACTATTTTGAAGAAGGTAATTGCTATATTTTTCCTTATAAATAGGGGTTACCCCCTCTCTATCAAAAGAGATAGAAAATTGAGATTCCATTTGAGTGAATGAAATAATAAGTTTTTTGCCAAAATAACATTTTTTTATTACCATAGCGATATTATTGTTGCCACGTAATTATCCTAATTGTTATATAGGATAACAAGAAAGGAAAATTTTAATTTAGTCTATAGTTTCCAACAAGAACTAAAAATTAAAATTTTTTTATTATAGAGGCACAAGAAGATTGCATAAATTTGATAATTTCCTTATAATTATTTAAAATAAATTATACTATTTATTGACCTTGCTATTATTAGTCTCTGCATTTTTTTTGAATGCATCAAACCTATTGCAAATATTTTTCATAATTTAAATTTTAAAAATATAAAAATTACAATGAAAATTGTAAGTAATAATAAGAAAAGTTACAAAAACTTCAAAGCTATTATATTTGTTTATATTATCATTCCTATTCCTTGAAAATAACTTTTACGAAGAGTAATCAAGCTAAAAATTTCAAAATTTTAATTGCAAACTAAAAATTATTGGATTATTGTATATGTAATTTACAAGCATAAAAGGCAAATGACATCCTAGGCATGAATCTATATTGTTATAGAGTGGTTCCTCATAAACATTTTATCAAACACATGATGTGAAAAATCATTTATTAAACAGTTAGCAATCAAAATATTTTGAAGGCCTGTAAGAATGTCCCATAATAAAAAAGACAAGCGAATAATTTTTGTTTACCTTGAAATTATCAATTCAAGAAGAATATTTTTAATCAACTGAAACAACAATAAGGATAATATTAAAGTTTTAGATGCTGTTAATATAAATATTGAATTATCAGAATTACGTTTGACAAGAGAAAGATAATGGAAAGAAAAAATAGTGCGAAGGTTCAGAGAGAAAATCTAGAAATTTATTAGATAGAAAAGAGAAATGGAGTATGCCCCTATTTTCATCCTAGTATATATGCCAGCCTATTTGATAAAAAATGGATTATAAAGGTAATAAATTTTAAAATTAAGCTACTTTGAGTATATACCAAGGAGAGTTATGTTGACAATAAACTCATGAATAATAGTTGTTTTCTTACTTTTCTCAACTCTTTAATTTTCCTATTTTCTTAACATATTAGCTATCACACAAATAACTCAAAATCTATATCACATTAATTTTCAAAAAAAAAAATCTATATCACATTAGCATTAGTTTTATAACACAATATTCATTTTTCTGTTCGGACACCCAATTTTCTTGGGCACGTTTTATTAGCTTGGCTTCTACAAAAGGGAAGTAACAGAGAGTACATCAGTACGGAAATCTTCTTAGTTTCCCCATATGGTGATATTTCCTAAGCTTTTCCACTGATCACAGACTCTCACTAATTCACTAGCTACTGTTTTCTTTTTCATCATCATCATCTCTTGTCAATTTTTTTCCCCAAAAGGTAGGCATCTCTGCCCCTATCTGGCGTCCCACCGCTCACTCTCTAGATTATGGTTGGCGTGACTATCATTGCATCACTCTGTAATTCTTGAATCGTGATCCGGAAGAGAGCCCAAAGTGATTGAACTCTGTTCATTCAGCGTGTCTTATTTCGCCATTAACAGAAAGGGGGGGGGGGATTGGGGAGAAAAAGGTTGCATTTTCTCCTTATTTCTTGGTGGATTGAAAAATTTTAGGTGACGATGGGTGAAGGAGAAATAAGGACAGAGGGGGTATGTGATGTCGATGATACGATTTTCGTGGCTGTGGGAGAGAATGTGGAGGAGGGCAAATCTTTGTTGTCCTGGGCATTGAAAAGCTTTGCTGGAAGAAATATCTGTATTCTTCATGTTCATCAGCCTACTCATTCACCTTCCCTCAGTAAGTTTAGCCATCTGATTCTTTTGGTTATTGGGTTTTTCAAGTTTTTCAGATAATTGTGTGTTGAATTGGTTGCTAAGATAGTAGTATCTGTTCAGACGAAAAGAAAAAAACAGAGATAGAGCCTTTTAATTATCTCTGGATAATAATGGGCTTGGTCGTGATTTCAAACATTAGAATTGTTTTCTTATTTCCTTAGTTTTGGTTCCTCTGTTTATGCAAGTCGTTATAGTAGCATAGAGTTTGAAGTGTACGTACATGCACTATTATTCCACAGACTGCGTCGCGTGTATGCTATAATGTACTTGTCCATGTTCTTTACAAATCAAGAATTCGATAAACTCCACTGGGTGGTAATGAAATTTGAGATCAAGATCCACTGCAACTATTGTTGGCATGGAAAGTTAAGAAGTTTTAGACTGGATATCCATACATATTCCTGGCTTTGCCATTATAGCAAAGTTTCAAAGAGTTTGGCATTGAATAGTTGCTCTGAAATTGCTGCTGAGTGAAGTTCCTATTTACTGGCCGTCAGGTTGTCACGTGTGGAAGGAGTGAATGGTTTGAGGGAGTATTATATGTCAGCTTCATGATAATTTGGTTGAGGGAACTGACGAAAATCATGGTGGATGCAACTTTAAGCAGGATTTTTTTTCCCTTTTGGCAGCATTATTGTTTGATTTTCTCTGCTGTATGACTCCTGACATTATTGGTAAAAGAGACTCCAAGAAGGATACTAATTCAAAAATATTGTCCTAATACTTTAACGCCTCTATTATGATGAACTTTCATTACGAAAATCTGGTCTGGTACTGTTGATTATGCTGTCTTGTTACTCTATTTGGATTGTATGTCCAGGCTGAAAATTTTCTTTTAATTCTCAACATGATTGTGCCTCATTTCTTGTAATATGTTTACAGTGAATGAAAGGCTTTCAGAAGCAGTTGAGAAATTTCAGGAAATTGAACACCAAAAGATGCACAGCATTTTGAATCAGTATCTTCAACTTGTTGAGCAAGTCGGGGTAGTATCTCATCTCATGCTGCCAAGTCATTTTCACTGCTTTACAAGATTAATATAAGTTGGCATCAGACAGGCATTTATTTATATACACTTGAACCAAAATTAATGGTAAAAGGTACTGTTTGCTTGTCGTCTCAGAGACAATGACGTTATGTATTTGCAGATTCGACCAGGTAAAATTTGGATTGAAATGAGCAATATCGAGCAAGGAATTCTACACATCATTTCTCATCATGGAGTTAAATGGCTTGTTATGGGAGCAGCTGCAGAGAAATACTACTCCGAGTATGAAATTTAATCTACTTCATAAGACTTTGTTTCTTTCTTGAAGTTGAGTAACACTTGTCGAGGAGGTGTCAAAAGCACATACCCTATTGGAGGCTAATTGTGCCACCAAAAGTTTATTTTCCTGATAGTAACTTTCTTATGTCCTTTATCTTTGTTAATCATTTATTCATCTGATTCAGACTCGACTAGATTGCAGGAACTTGTCAGAACTCAAGTCAAATAAAGCAATTTTTGTTTGCCACCATGCACCAGTTCCATGCCAAATTTGGTTTTCCTGTAAAGGTTGCCTCATTCGGACTAGGTATTCTGAACATTCTACTATTTTTATTTTCCATTTGTCCTGCTCTCGTGTGGTATTCCTCTTCATGTAAGTAGTCCCCTTATTGCTGTACCATAATTTTTTTTTTCTTTTCCTTCTTGATATGTAATTTCGAGCTTGGGATCTGAATTAGGCTAAGTCTAGCCTTCCAAAAGCCTGAACTTCCACGCTAACACCAAGCAGATCATTGTTAAATAGATAGATTCTGACTCTCTTAGAAGGTATATTTTTGTCACTGGAAATCTGAATTCCAGGCAAAGACAATTTAAGGATGATTGTTAAGTGTTCAATTTTCTGAAGATTTAACTTTTTTAGAAGGTTTAATGTTGTTCTAAAATTCTTACTCATTGCTATTAATTGTTTCAAATCTAATCTGACGTTTGTGCTTTTACTGTTAAGCAGATTATATAGTCTCTTTTCTCATATTTTCTTGTTGTGGTGGCTAAAGTAGATAAAGTCTCACTTGAGACTCTGTTAAAGTTGTTGTGGAGTGCCATCTTAAGGAAAGCTAAATAAATTCCTACCAGATTGGATTATACTTTGCAAGTGGATTTTGGGAGAGGAACATGAAATTCTACTGTGAAGCAGCTTTTCCGTTGTAATGTCCATTATTTTGAAAAAACTGTAGTGGACCCTTGCTGCTATTGCTTCCGAACTCTTTTGCCTTAGATAGTGTCAGGACTTGTTCTGCAACTTTTCTTACTAATTTAAGATTCTTTATTTTCTCTGCTTTCTGTGGCTCTTTATGTTTCAAACTGTCAATTTTCCAGTCCATGGACAAGGATTGCCTTAGTTTCATGTTTCTTTTGCATTACTCAGTAGGCATGCGGATTTTGTTCTAAGAGTACATATTCTTATCTAAACATCATTTTGTCATTTTGAGCTGCTGTAATTTCGAAATGATGAAGAGAAGAATAAGAACACTGACTTAACAAAATGTTAAGGGGAGAACAAATGTAGATGTTAGTATATAACAACTCAACTATGATAAAAAGGGAATGTAAAATCATTGTTGTACACAGTATGACTTTGGTTGCATGTATTAAAGAATCATTGTCAAGGTTTACTAATACAGGTTTGTAATCCTTTTCTTGAGCTAGGTCTGATGAAATTGGATCTCATTTAGCTGGGGTTGTGCCATTGTCTTCTAAAACAAACAAGGTGACATCATTTTTGCAACATCATAAAGAAGATGCTGACAAAGATGTTAAGATTACAGTGTCTGAATTTGAAGAAAACATGGTTCATGGTCAGAATTTAACACATTCAATGACTGGAGATGGCTCATCATTATACTTACCACATTCAATGACTGGCGATGGCTCATCATTATACTTACCAAGCAGTTCGCAAGATTCACCTTTTTCTTCATCTGTAGATTTTCTGGTATGCATGCTTATTTCAATTGAAAGTCAAGTTGTTGGTAATCATGCAGCTTTTGAATTTTGAAACAGAGAGCATTTCCCTTGCTATTTTCAAGAGTCACTGAAGTTGAATGAACCTGATGAAGGATTCTTTCTTAATATTCATTTATAAGCAAAATTGAATCAAAAGCGTTGTTTCACTATATTTTTGCCAATCATTTAAAACCCCTGCTTTGTATGTTTGGGGGCCATATTTCTTTATGCCTACTGAAATGTTCCAGTATGATTCGATGTGAGACTTTTGGGGATTACTACAACATGGTAGTTACTGAGACAGTTATTTAGTGATCACCAACTCCTAACTTGTTGGGGAAGTGATTCCAGGGAGATAAACTTGAAGTGAAAGGAAGGATTGATAATCAATCAGAGTGTGCTATTATAGATGCTGAAAAGTGTAAGTAGAGGCAAACTGAGGAGCTAGTAAGAGGACGGAGAGGTGACAGAGATATGTTGGAAACATACACGGTAGCTTTGTTTGATCAAAGTTCATATGTTTCTTTCCTTCCTCCTCGTCTACTGCCTTCTTTTTCAGTTTTATTGTTGTTATATCTCTGTAAAGTACATGCTGTTATGGGAGCAAAATACTTGCATTTTTTAGAACAGTGCTTGGAAGATGCATAGCTGAAGAATTTGTTTGATCAAACTTGAGGCATTTTCTCTGCCCCTTCTTACCCTGAAAAGGCAGGGGCACCTGAAAAAACTTGGGATGTTTTAGAACAGCTCTTGCTTTTCTGCCCTTCATATGCATAATTTGGCCAATAGCTGCAAATACAAATTTAAGTTTTTTTAATGAACTGTGCTTTTCGTTTATGTGTCAGTTTATTTTTTTATTTCACTCTTCTGTTATCAAAGAGATATATGTACAACCATTTGCATTAAAGCACTTACCTACTAGCTTCCAAAATGAATTTATTGACTATATCTTGTGAAGCTGTAATCTAGAACATAGCAAAATGATCTGCATCTTCTATTACTTATCTCTCATCCTTCATTCTTATGCATTATGATAGGCTGAAGCATCAGAGACTTTTTACTTGAAAGAGATTAACTCGAGAAGTTATATGGAAGATTTGCTGAAAAAGCAAAGGCAAGAACTAGAAAAAATGAAAAATAAGCACAATCAAATCGTAAAGGAACTTCAGCTGGTCCAGAACCAAAAGCTTTCTTTAGAAAGAAAATTCATGGAAAACTGTTCTACAGAGGAGGAGTTAGAGGAGAAGATTATACAAGCAGTGAAACTCTTGATAAGTTTCAAGGGGAAGCGTGATCTGCTATGGAAAGAGCAGGAAAGGGCATTAAGAGAATCTCATAAGTTTCAAAAAATGGTAAAAGAAGATGTTTGTGCCATGCATGTCTCTCATTCCTTTGATATTTCTTTCTCGGAGATCATTGAGGCTACTCGAACTTTTGATCCATCGATGAAGATTGGAGAGGGAAGATTTGGGAGTGTTTACAAGGGAATAATTCACCATGTCAAGGTAGCTATAAAGATGTTGCCCTCCTGTGGTTCTCAAAGTGATTCCGATTTTGAACACAAGGTAAAATCCCTTACTCTTGACATGAACTATCCTATCTAGATGAATGCAATTTCTTTAGAAAAAGATAAATTGCATTGCATTTGCTGTTCTGGAGTTTATTCCTGTTGTTTATAGTGTGAAAGAATTTGATCGAAAAAAGTACATTTTAAACTGGTAGGACTTATTCCATTCCCCATAAAGGAAAGGAAAAACCTTTGGCATTATCAAACCTTATACCATCTTTTTGGGTCTCTGGAGTACTTTCATAGTGGTGACTTTACTAATAATTTAAATTCATTTGCCTCCTTAGTTTACTCCATGGGCTGCCATTTCATCTTCTAGGTTCAATAATTAGTCGCCATGAGTGAAGTTGTCCTATCTATGTTCAGACATAGTTTTATTTTGTAAAAGCTGAACATGAACGTGGAATTTTTCCATCTTTATGTAGTGTTATGTGTTATGCAGTATGGCTATTTTTTTTCTTGGAAACAATGAATTGAATTAGTATTGGTGAAAGCTTTACAATATGTGGACAAAGGGCCTACCTTCTTTTTTTTTAAAAAAAATGACAAAGGCCCTACTTAACTATGCAAATTGTGCACATTAGCACAAAGGAACAGAATTTATCCATTGCTCATCATGATAAATGCTCAAAGCACAGGTACTAAGATTGCAACTCATATCCATATTATCTTTTTCTACTAAACAAAAAGAGCGCATGGGAAATTAGCTCAAATTATGGATACCAGCCAGCAGTATTGTGCAGTATGGCTAGTTGGAAGACAGTGGTTTATGCTGTAGTTAAGACCAATCATTCAAATTGCCCTACTCAAATCTTTTGAAAATGCAGTAAAAATAATCCTTGTATGTGCACCTTAGCAATTACATAGAAAAGGTGTAATGTGACTGTTCATGTAACCTGCAGGGGAAAACGCAATGCAGCTTTATTCCTCTGCTTGTGTAGGATCTGAAGTTCCCCTCCCTAAAAAAAATAAAAGTTCTCTTTTAGCCCTATCATACATGATCTCTGTATACAGTTGGAGAAGTTACTGCAAATGTGTTTTGTAATGTCACTGTCAACCAGAAGATGTAATCTGTACTTTGTCACTGGGGTGATGAGCTTTGGATGCTTGCCAAGTGAACATCTTAACTGGAGAAGATGAATAATCCCATGCTTGATGGTTATTAGGTAGAAATGGTTCATCAGGGCATTCAGAATTCTAGATGAAATTTCCGTGAGTCATTGTGTACAAAGTAAATAGTTGTTATTAAACTGTTTCCATATTTGTTTGATTGACACAGGCAGAAATTTTAAGCAGGGTCAGGCATCCAAACCTTGTCACACTGCTTTGTGCCTGTACTGAATCTAGGTCACTTATTTATGAGTACCTTGAAAATGGAAGCCTTGAAGATCACCTTGCTGGCCATTTGAAGAGTCGTTCTCTTCCCTGGCAACTTCGCCTAAGAATTGCTAGCGAGATATGCTCTGCCCTCATCTTCCTGCATGCACACAAAAGCAGTATAGTCCATGGTAATCTAAAGCTTAGCAACATCCTTCTTGATGCCAATTTTGTCAGCAAAATAAGTGACTTAGGTATCAAAAACTTCCAAAATGGTGAGAATCCATGTGGTAAGAATGACTTGGAGGCTTCTATATATCTCGAACCAGAATATGTTGATGGAAGGCATGTGACAGAATCTGATGTATACTCGTTTGGAATAATACTATTACAACTTTTAACAGCAAGACCTGCCTCCAGTATAATTAGAGATATGCGGTGTGCCATGGAAGTTGGGAATGTAAGTACTGTTTTGGACCATTCAGCTGGTGACTGGCCACTTGAGCAAGTGGAACTGTTGGCTTTTTTGGCATTAAGGTGCTGTGAGGAGAAGCGACTCAATCAACCAGACCTAGTGGCAGAAGTTTGGCCCGTAATTGAACCTATGAGAGACTTGTGCACTTTGTCATGCTTGGGTTCAACTTCTTCGCGCTTGGATTTGACTGCTCAGCAACGGATTCCTTCTAATTTTGTCTGTCCCATATTTCAGGTAATCCTGAGAATTACTTGAAATTATGCATCGCTTGCACAAGCTGTGCAGTTTAGGACATTACGGACTTTGAGTTAACATTAGGGTGGCATGCTCTGATTATCTGACTGTAATTGGTATTATTCTGTATCTTGCATGACTACCATTTCCATGAAACAAAATCACCATGCTTTTTTGCCCTATCTGTTAAATTCATGAGTAAGTTTCCAGTTGGTGGTGCTGCGGCAAGTGATTGGTGATTAGAGTGCCTTGGGGAGGCCTAGTTAGGAAATCACAATATTTGCCGGAATAATTGCATCATTTCTTGTTTTCAAAGTCTGATGTACAGAAAAGGCTGTCAGCTTTTGAGCCTTTTTGCTTTTCGCTGATATGCTTGTTCTGGGTTTGAATTTGTAGGAAGTAATGAAGGATCCACACATAGCAGCTGATGGTTTTACATATGAAGGCGATGCAATAAAAGGATGGCTGAACAGCGGTCACAAGACTTCACCTATGACAAACCTACAGCTCGATCATTGCGATCTGCTTCCTAACTACGCTCTTTACTATGCAATTCAGGAATGGCAACAAAGGTCCTGAAACATTTTCTTGCTTTTTAGGAGTACATAGACCTGACAAGCATTGGTACATATACCTTATAAATGCGTAATACAGTGTAAAGAGAAAACATAGCAGTGCAAGCTACATGTGCCTTGAGTCATATGATCAACTGATCCAGGAATGAGGTCTTTCAAACCACTGGAAACATCTTCTCTAGCATATTTAGAATATGCTGATGCATGTTTTATATTTGACTTGAAGGCCAAAGCGTTGTTCTCAGTTGGTTTAGGTAATTCGACTGCTGAAGTATGAAACGTTTTCCTGCTTTCTAATTTTCGAGTCTCTCTGGGTTATGATCAGACCAAACTCTTGAATAGGAATTGCTAGAAGGGTATGGTGGTCCCCTGCGTCTGCATTAAAAACTCTGGAGTATGCTTTCCAAAATCTTTTGAGTTTTTGACCATGACGATGGTGGTGATAGAGATTCTTCTCTGCTCTAGGGACGGTATAAAGAAGCATGTGTTCGGATTGCAGAACAATGTTCAAAACTTAGAATTGCAACAAAATTTCAGGCTTATTGTATCTACTCTGCCCAAGCCCTGTTTGGCTCTTATAGTTAATCCGGCCCAGCACCATCTGTGTCTTAATGAATTGTCTTGCTTCCAGCGATTATTGTCGTGTTAATTACTTGATTGGACCTTCGAGCTATAACTGAGTTAAGTTGCTAACTGTAATTACACCAGTATCACTCACAGTCCTACACCCTTGGGCTATAATCTCTAGACTCGCTTGCCCCCGTGGAAAATGCTTGTCTCAGTTCTAGTTCCATTTGGTGGATTTGGCGACGTGGGGAGGAGGGATGTTAAAGGATTTTGGCTACCGGCACGTGGCAGGCAGTTTTTCTTTTTTCCCCGGAGTGAGGGGGTAACAACTAACAAGACAAGAGCGGTGGTTTGCATCATTTTGGAGAAAAAATGGTTGAAATTAATTGTTTCCAAATAATAAGAAAGAGGTTACCTTAAGAAAGTCGGGGCAAAATTCTGCGGAATTTTTGTCGATGCTGACGAGCAGGTCGGGGAGGTACTAGGTAGGTGTATGTCGTAATCTTTAATACCAGAGGGGAGGTTTGCTTGTGCAATAATGGTAAATGTCTTGTTTTTTTTTTTAGTCAATCGTGTTGTACTAACATAATAGATGGCGGCGCGCTGGGGAGGGTGGTCCCTGGTCGCTGATCATTATGACGCTAGATTGTGATTCACATGACGTACAACTGCTGTTTACACGTCACTCTAGAGTGTACGATTCTATTTCTATGACTCTCCATCAGCGCACGCTTTCGAAACGGTGACGATGAAATGTAGAGCGTACGGATTTGCCCGAATGGACCCGAATTATTCAATTCTGGCTTTGCTCGGAGCCCAAACCACAACTCTTGTAGTGCCTACAGGAGCGTGACGTGCAGATGCTGAAGTCACCAGCCCCCCCCCCCCCCTTTTTTTTCCCTTTATTATTTTAGTACTACTTTATATATATATATATATATAAGTAAAATGTTTTGAATCAGATCTCTCTCGGTCACATTTCTTCCCTTATACCACCTGATCCATCCATTTCCCCCCTAGTAGTTAGTACCTTCTAATTTCTAGTTGAGTAATCAATTTGAAATTTTAAAAAATTTTTGATTTTTCAAAAGTATTACTTATACCATTTGAATAGTTTAATGACCTTGGAATGGGAAGAAAAACAAAAGTCCTAGGATGTTTTTATTTCTTGCCCTATTGCACGAGGTGCACACTATCACTTAAGTTGGTCATCATTTTTCACGTAATCGTAACTATTTCATGCCATTTTCATTGTATTTCTATATTTAAAAAGAGAATGACACAAAAGAAACTGGCGACCACGTGAATATTGTGAAGTGTCATTTTGGAGAAATCACGCTTTTTGCAATGCGCTTTAATGAGAATCATTTGAAACAAAAAACACTTTTTAACATTATCATATAAATAATAAAAAGATTTTTTTCAATAAATGCTCAATGAACACTTATTAATATACTTAAATTACATCTTTTTTAGTATTAGTGGGAGGGGTCGAATCGAAACTTCTCACCTATACTCCTTCATTCTAAATCACACAAACCATTCACTCTTCTAAAATTACACTTAATTTATCATATAAATACACACAATCATAATTATTGCATTATTGTATTTATATAATTTCACAAATTAATTACACTTATTTCAAAAAAAAAAAAAACTAACACATGAGATATAGGCACCGTTAACCAAACCAACGGTAAACGAGTGTGTTTGGATTGCAAATTATTTGAGATAACTTTTTTGATGTGATGTATGCGAGGTAAAAATGTGATTGAAAAATGTGTTCATGATGCAAACAAATCAGTGTGCGTAAATAAGGTGTAAATAAAGTGAAATAGAAGACAATCCAAACACAACAACAGTAGAAAAGAGGGGGAAAAGTGAACATGCGGTAATTTTGCTAAGAATTAATAACAGAAGATCAACTCTCTACCCTTCCTTGTCATTTTTTTTTATTATCAAACTCACTTACATAAGGCGACGTAAAATAGCTTGGACCGTACTTTGTAAAACGACAAATGTTACCCCTTTCTAAAGATCATTGACATTTTTTTTTTTGGGATAATGGGTAATCAGCACCAATCAAAGATACATCAAAATGTTAAAGTATATTTTTCTTCTGTATTGTTGATGGCTTATTTCTTTGAATGTCGATGGAAATTCTTGTTTGGATAGAGTATTATTTGAAATATTTTATTTGGAATAATTACTGTAGCATTTTTTGTGATGTGATATATATGAGATAAAAAGATGGTTAGAAATATAAAAAAGTGGGTTGAAAAATATGTTTATGATGCAAGCAAAATATTATTTGGGATAAGTTCACTGTCCAAACAAACCCTCTGTCTTCTAAAATAAAAAGTAAAACTGAAATATCTTTTCTTCTTATTATGGGGAGGAATATTCTCGCAAATTGCCGTACCTTATAGCACGAACCGCCCAAAATTTTTTCTTGGCAAAGGCTTTCCAGAGCGGATTGCACCGGGAGGGAGCTGTCCTTTCGTAGCATTCGTCCCCGGTAGTGGGGTATGATCCTGCCAGTAAGACTAACAAAATCTTGAAAAAGTTCCATATTCTCACCAAGGAAAAAAAAAAGGTATAGTTTCCATACTTACTGCTAAGGGTTCCGTCTCCGCCTTTATAAATATTCCATCTCATTTCCATTCCTCCCTTTAATTCTCTCTCCATCTCCGTCCCATTCCGTCTCCAAGTTTCGCCGATTGCTCTTTTTCTGATTACAAGTTTCTCTCTCTTAATTTAGTCGGCCGCAGGTGTTCCGGGAGCGGGGAACTTCAAATCTATCGATCATCGGAGATCTCTTTAAACCCCGACTCCTCAGTGGTACGTTTAACTATCCGGACTTGTTCTTTTCCTTCACTGTATGGCATGTGCTCATCGCAGATCATGTGACCTAACCCTAGTTTTTCCCCCTTTGGTAAAATTTCCGCCATAATTTTCTGCTTCTGCTAATTGATTTTGTTTTTGTCTTTCCATACATTTGATCCAGGTTCGCATTACCGGTTATTGAACGGATTTTCACGTAAGCGCTTATTTGTATAATGGTGTTGTTATCGAGTTCCTTGTTTGATGTTCATAAGAATGTGGTGTTGAGCTCAAAAAGAAAATGTGGTGTTGAACAGTGCTTTCTTGGGCAGGGCTTGTCAAAGTATTTGTGATTGCTTTTGTTGTTGAGTGGTGTTTGTATTGGGGGAGAATCTGTTTATGATAATTTCAGAAGGTGGATCTCCTGTATGTTGGTTGGGAAATTGTATTTTACATGCATTTATTGGGGTAAATGCTGTTCTCCATATATAGTACAATGCCCTACTGTCAGGGCAGTATCCATTGATTGGTTAAATTTTTTATTTTGTAATTCTGCTAATATTTTTTTTTATTGTGCTGGCTGTGTTGTGGTAAATTCCGCATAAAAAAAAGGCTTAGAGGCCTGGGTCCTTTTTTTTTTCTTTTTCCTGTTTTTCCCTCTCATCTACACTGTCGCTACCATTGGGATCTGTTGGTCACTGCTGTAATTTTTGTTTTATGGTTGCTAATCTTTTCTCCAATTTTCTGGTTGTGTTAGTGTAACCGCCCTTGTTGTTTTATTGGTCCAAATGGGAAAAAGGCTCAGAAGTCATGACAGCTTGCTGTAAACAGTCTATAGGATATAGGCTGTCCAATTCCAGAAAGCCTTTTAAACTGTTGAGCTTGTAATATGCTACACTGCCTTTTCAAATTGCTGCTATGCTTTGGGATATAGAATTGGTTGAGTTTATGTTTGGGAAATGAATGCCTTTTCTGCTTTTATCTGTTACAATTTACGTGTTGTAGTAGTATTATCATCAGAACTATACCATCAGTAGCATCTATCTCCTGCTAAGATAAGCTATTTGCAATGTGCATAATGATGAATGGCGTGGAGTGATACACATGGTAAAAAGAGGATCTTTTTGTGAGTCTTAATGTTTGTAATCAAGCTTCTCTTGTTATTTGTTGCTATGGCTATAAATATCTGTTAGTCGCCAAATTTCAGTGAAAAATTCAAAAGGTTTTATGCACTTGCCACAACCTGTTTTCTGAGTTCAGTTGTTCAGACTTTAGCTTCATATATGTGGAGCTATAGAATTTGCTGAAGTTGTATATTGTTCTGCTGTTGAACGATATCATCATACTTTTGAACTTGTCCTTTGTACTCATATGAATTTTTGACTTCTTTTTTGTATGTCTGTAACTGAATAAACTCTGCTGTTTCACATGGCAGAGGTCACTGAATAATAGATGCCAGTTGCAAAACTCAGCACAGGTGGCACTCTTGATTCCATGAAATCAGGAGATGGGAATGATTCTCTTGATACTGTGAGTCGGCAAACTGTTGGGAAGGAGCCTCATATTTCTCTTTCAAGGACGGGGGATATCCCGGTCCCATGGTTTCAGTTGCTTCATGGTACTGGAAAATCTGTATGGTCGGATGTTAAATCTGGTGTATAAGGAACTGTAAAGTAATCTGTTGAAAAGAATTTTTAGGAAAAAGAAGTAAATACCTTCCTAAATGAAGTTAATCAAGTGGCCTGAATGTTGTCTTAACCCTTTTCAGGTTATACGTTTTAAGACTTAAATTTAGCCTGAACCACGATGCTGACATTTGTAATTGGAATTTGCAACAGATGGATCTGATTCTATAAGCCTTACTACATTTAGTATGTCTATATAGTGATGTGTTTGAAGCTCAATCCATTGGTTTTTTCTACATTCTGGCAGAGCTTCCTGGTTGGCCCTTGCTGAAGCCTCTGAAGGTTCAGATGGAGAAGTGTGAGAAGTGCGCACAGGAATTTTGTTCACCGGTTAACTATCGGAGGCACATCAGAGTGCACCGCAGATCATTAAATTTTGACAAGGTTTCTTCTTTATATGTGCTTCTGATTTTGGTGCCATAACTGCTGTTTACTGGTGGTTTCTCTTTGAATGATACTCGACATCATATTGTATATTATGGTGTTTCTCTCCTTTTTTTTTATTTAATATTTTTATTTTTTACAACGTTCTTTTCTATGGTTGTGGGCCAATAGTCTTGCTGTTCTTTATGCTGTTTTCAGGAATCTCATAAGATTAGAGATATGTTGGCAGCTTTCTGGGACAAGGTAATCAATTTTGTTGCAGATCATCTGCAATTGTTTCTTTGTAGGGATTCCAGTAGCTGCAGTTGGTTAATTTTATCGTCTTATTTGCAGCTCTCACTGGAGGATGCTAAGGAAGTTGTATCATTGAGGGATGTGACTCTAAAGGTGGCGGCATAGCTATCTTGTTTTCTTAATTGGTTTATTTCTTGTTTGCGTGTCCTCTTTTAAGGAAAGTAGGTTTTTTGGTTTCACAATTCTATTATTGATTCTCTACAACCCTGGGCTTTTAAAACTACCAATGAAAAGTTCATTTCTGCCTAATTGTCTTAGCTTTGACTTTTATTGGTTTCTCTTTTTGCTGATTGCTTCTGAAATTTGTGTGTTTAGCCAAAGATGGTCAGCAAACATACTATGGCTTTATTGTTGCTTGTCATAAAACATGCTTGAAGTCTAATGAGATCAGTATGTACCATGTTTGGATCCATTATTGCCAGGTTCTTGGCTTTTGAGTTTTGAAACTTCAAACTTGAAGCACTGGCAATGATGGTGATTCAGAAAAAAAACATGAGAATTGCCTCCTCTGGATTTGTATATGGGGAGTGATATGCTTGGAAAGTTTTGGTTAAAAAAGAGAAACATGAATGTTTTGGCCCCTGTATCTTGAGATCCCTGTTCTCAAGCTGGAGTAAATGGTGCTACTCTGAGAGGGAGCTTGATCCATAGCTTTTCTTATGTCAGTCCAAAATCACCATTTATCTTTATTCAATAGGAACAATACTATATTCATTTTCGAGCTTCATATTTAAGTCTTTTACTTTATCAAATTTGGATATCTGTGCTGGAAAATCTTGATATTTTAAATATACCTACTTTACTCTTTGCAATGGTTCAGTATTCTCGCTTTTACTTTTTTCTCCAAATCTGTTTGCACTGATGGGGGAGAGGTGAGGTGGCTGATTACAAACTCAATATTTAATGGTTTAGGAATTGAAAATGTTCCTTGGAATACAAGGTAGGATGGTTTTATATATTTGTAATTGCTTCAATAAATACTGTACACCTATGCTTGTTGCTTCTGTATTTTTATCTAGACTTCTATATCTTCTTGTAATTAACTCTGTTATAGGAAGTTACTGGCACTTCAGTTATCAAATCATTGGCTGCATCTCTCCACAAGCCAGGGGTTTGGACACTTCCACAGGTTTATGTCGAGGCTGGATCTACCCTACTGGTAAAGTTTAATTTTGATGTCCTTCATTTTGTTCCTATATGCTTGACTTGACAGTTATGTGTCCATTTCTGTCTTTTATCTTTACAGCTATCACATCGATTGTCTGATACAACTTGCAGGATGTCATTCATGCTAAATCCTCTAGGCTTCCTATATCCTCACAGGAATTATTCAGTATTCTTGATGATGCTAGTGAGAGGACTTTCTTACGTGCTGGCACAGCTGAATCTGTGCTAAAGTATATTTTTGGTGGGAAACCTGGAAGAATTGCCTTTGAGTTGAAGAACTTAGTTGCTTGCACTAGCTTTCTTTTTGAACTGAAGCTGGTAAAGTATTTACTTTTTCTGTATTTAATGGTTGATTTTTCATCATCGTTTCCCATATCTACTGTTGAATTATGCTTTTGGAGATTGTTTGTTCTGTGCATATCACATTTGGATGGCATCATTTAATAGCACTTGCAATCATGATAAAATATCGCAATCTTTTTGGACATCATTACTCAGTGTGCTCGAACTGTCATGTGCTAGTCACTTTAATTCAGAGGGAAGATGCGATAATGTGTGGTTTTTGTTTAAAACCTATGTTATGAATCCGTCTTGCTCTCCAATCTAATATGCGTTGTGTATCTCTATTCTTTCTTGTATAGGTTAAAGCATGGGTTGCTGACAAAGATGTTGAGGCCTTGAGATGCCAGAAATTGCTTGTGGAGGAGGAGGAAGCTGCTCAGAAAAGGTGATTGTGGTTATTTGAATGCTTGTATTCATCATTTACTATTCATCATTTTTTTGGCCATCGAAACATGCAGACCTTTCTCATTCTGGTGTTGGTAAACCAAACTTGTGCGCGGGTTGTTTTCATTTTTTTGTGCACTCTTTTGAGTGCGAAATTTGGGGAAAATAAGAAAAACAGATAGGACCTTAGGTTCATGCTTAGGAGGACCATTTTGAAACCACTGATTTTATCATGCAACAAATGATGACATAATCTGATACCTGTAACAAATGCAACTTGTGCAGTACTTTTCTGGCACTAGTAGTCTGATACGTCATTTTATCATAAATGCTTGAGCAAAAATATTCATGATATTTATCTGCAGATACTAGAGCCTTTTTGAATTATCTGGATATGTTGTTGGTGAAAGATGCATATATAAACTTGGAGAATTTTGACTTCACTTTTGTTTCTTTTGAAGTCTAGTAATTTTGGGCATTATTTTTTGCTGATAATTTTTACCCTGTAAAAATGACAGGCAAGCTGAGCTGTTGGAAAGGAAAAAGCAAAAGAAGCTCAGGCAGAAGGAACAGAAAGCAAGGGAACATTCAAATGGGGACGGAGTGGCTTTGATTGATGCCACTTCATCAGAGGGATCTTTTCTGGCAGAAATGTGCAGCTCTTCTCCACCTGATTCCAGTCCTGATGCTCCTTGCACTGTAGATGATGGCACCACCTTCCTTAAGCCAGTTCAGCTCTCTAGTACTGAACAAAATAATGACATTGAAGCTCAATCTGATTTAAGCAGTGGCCATTTGGATTCAGGTCTTGTTCAAAATGTAGAACCCACAATGGTATCTGTAAACGGTCGCCGGTGGCGGCAGGTGTCTAAATCCCATTGGGCTGGAAGAAGTGACTTTCATGGTAATCAGAATCATCAAGTTTCAAAACTTGAACCAGTACAAAAGCTTGTCCCTGCCAAAGATCGAGGTACTGTGGTGAGCAGCAGTAAAGTGTGGACCAAGAAACTTAAAGTGGACAATGATGAGGAGATCTTGAGACCCACACTGGAGGAGGCAGTAAACCAATCAGATGAAAACAAGTGTGAACTGATTATTGGCTCTATATCTATACCAGTTACAAACTGTATCTTAAGGAAAAATAAAATCAGTTTAGGAGAAGCTCATTACAGTTGTAGTACTGAGGAAGGTAAACATAAGAGTAATGTTTTGGAGGAACCAGCTAACTCCGACAGCCGTCAATTTGGTTTAAATGAAGCTGCCACTGAACTTCGGATGCCTAAGAGTCTTCATGGTTCAAGAGGTCCATCACCAGTTCAAAGAGCCAACCATGATGCCCAAGACGGTGTTATGGTTGACAAGCTAGAGGATCGAACTGCCTCTGATGGTAGTTGTTTGCAGTCATCCTCTTCGGATGATGATCATAGCCAAAGCAGGGAGGGTTTGACCTGTGTGTACGAAGGGATGGCAATGCCTCAAGGTTTGCAGCTCTCCACTGCGGCTGCCAAAGCTTTTCTTGCACAGAGTATGTTGGTCCTGTAATTTGGTTCTTATCCTCAAATTTCAGTTTCATATGGTGAATGATAATTTCCCTCCAATTATTATCTCGTCCTCGTGTTCGCTTTTGCTTTTCGGATGTGTGAGATAAGTGTATTTGTAATGTGTATGTAGGGTGGAAGGAAGCTATCTCAGCGGAGCATGTGATGACACTGGTGCTTTCGGAGGAGTCTGATCTTCCCGGGCTTCCAGAAAATCAAATTGACATTTCGGCTCTTGATTTTGAAAACGGGCAAGTTGACCTGGGTCGTATTTCGTCTACCGGCGGAATTACTAAAGCTAAGAATAGAACAAATCCTGAAAAGGGTGTTAAGATCAAGTACATCCCCAAACAGAAAGTTGCTTCTTAGGATACAGGAGAGTAATGCGATTTTTGCTTTTGTCATACCCGTTGTGCAGCTAACTAATTGCCATAGCATTCGGTAGCAGAGGTTCCAGTTTTACCAGCGGTCTTCTGTCAAAGAAAATGTTCAAATTTTGAGGATACAGTTTTTGAGTTCCATCCTTTGTTCTTGAGTAGGTGGAGCAAATTTGATTAAGAGAGAGGTTTTCTCGGCTGTTCCCTGGTAGTTCTGTAATAAATTGGGGTTTCTTTTTGGTGTCAGGAGAATTTTGTAAGCCTCATGTCTTGGCTAAACATCGCATCTCGTGTTATGCCAGACACTGTAAAAAGTAGAGTACTATGATATATTCCAGACGCGCCGCCCAATTTTTAAGGAGTATGATGGATTTGTTGTTAGTTAGTATTTGGTTTTATTTTGTCGTTGGTTTGGTGGTTCACTCACTGTCAACTTTGTTGTACGTAGGGTATCTGTTCAGTGGTGAAGGGGGGAACAGTCACTAGTCTAGGCGAGAGTTTTCTCGATCTTGAATTGAATGTAGTACGTAGATGACTTCCCTAATTATTATTATTAGAGTAAAGACGAGCTTACGGTAGTAGTAGTAGTAGTAAGCTGCATAACAAGCTGACTGCAATATGTGAGGAGATAATTTGGAGTAAAATTAGCGCCATCCGTCGTCCTTGCGTAAAATTTGTGTCCCGAATGATGACGCGTTATCCGACATTCTTGTATTAAACTCATTACACAAAAGAGTACTAACATCGACACTTTTTTTTTTTATTTTTTGGAATTATATATTATTTTCCAGGATTAACGTCGACAATATACGTCCAGCCAGCCTGTCAGACGGGATCAAACAACATGGAAAAAGAGGGGTCCTGCGCCGATTGATCTGCTGAACCGAAAAGTCAAAAAGAGAAGGGGAGGCAAAATAATCCGCCAAATTGAATAGGGAGTGAAGGAAGGAGGGCCGGCGGAGGGGGGGGCAGCCGCATTGGAAAAAAAAAAAAAAGGGGGCCTGCGAATCAGATGCAGTTGACTCCTCAAACAAAACTAGAACCACAAGCCAATAACTGATCGAGCGTTCCCCAGACTGCAGTTAGATGCCACGTAACTGGGACACTGTACCCCCATAGAACTCTGCCTGACTGCCATTTGTAACGTACTCCTTATCACAGAAACAAATCTTCCGCGACCGACCCCTTTTCACAATCTCTGAAACCATTTAACTCTTCCTCTTTCTCTAGTTCCAGAAACACAGAAAAGCAGCCGCAGAAGCCTTCAATTTCTCGTCCAAAAATAGTGAAATTACTGGGTGATATTTTCCCAATATCAGACGAGTACAGAAAGTGCAAAGAAAAATGTCAGGTGGGGTTGGTCCAAGCAGTGACATAAGGCTGCCGAAAGAAGAAGAAGAAGAAGAAATTCATCAACGGAAGGCTAGTTTTCCCAAGGAAGGGGGCACTCAAAGTCAAAAGCCTCCTCAGCCCTCCCGAAGAGGGTTCTTCACTTTTCGGCAGCTAAATGCGCTGGCTGTGATTATCGTTCTCTCAGCTAGTGGAATGGTCAGTATCGCAGATTTCGCTTTTGTAATCTTTTCTCTAGTCTACATATACTTCATATCAACGGTTGCCTTTCCAAATCATTCCCCCTACGCGGATCCCCCTGTCTTCGGCCAAAGAAACAGGATCCTAAGCCTTTACGTTTTTATCGGAGCATTAGTCGGATTGCTTTTCCCAATAGCATATATTTTCCATGGGATTTTCGAGGGAGACAAGGAGGGGATCAAGGCTGCCGCACCCCATGTTTTTCTCCTTTCCGCTCAGGTTTTCATGGAAGGGGTGTCTTTCAGCGGTGGGTTTTCGCTCCCTATTCGAGTTTTTGTCCCCGTTTTCTATAATGCGAGGAGGATCTTCACTATTGTGGAGTGGTTGAGGAGTGAGATTTATAAGGTGGAAATGGAATATGGTGGCAGTGCTAGAAGGGTGTATATTGGGAGAGCTCTTGCTGTGGCTAATATGGCCTTTTGGTGCTTCAATTTGTTTGGATTCTTGTTGCCTGTTTACCTTCCCAAGGCCTTCAAGATATATTATTCTTCTTCTGTCCGCAAGGCTAAGGACTAATCTGACCGAGTAAGAGGGGAATATGGATTTCTGTCTGTTATTTTAAATGCTTTTAGTTTCTAACGTCATTAGTGGAACCAGTGTTAGTTTTTCTTTTTATCCTGTTGCACGTTCCTTTTGGGTTTAGACGGTTGGGCAAATAAGTACTCGCTGTTTCGGTTGGACTCAGCTCTTCCAGAAATTCATTTCCTTTGTTTTCAGTGAAGAGCAAATTCTGTGAATTGTTATATACTATATTGGTATTCGATACTACTGTTTGATTGGTGACATGAATACAATTTAGAGTCTCCAACGGGGTCTTTGCTGCGTGCACTTGACTTTAATGGTGGATGTGGCATCGGCATCACACGCAAATTTCCCTTGTAGTCTATACGTCTGTTCTCTCAAATTTAGCCTCAAGCTACCTGGACCATGTCTATCTTTCTCCGTAGTCCTCACATTAATATGCCCCTTTTTGTTTTTTTGCGTGGTTGAAGAAAATAAGGAAATGTAGTTGCCTCTAAAGCATCTTGCAAGAAAAGAGTGCGACTGTAATAGGATGTAGACAAGCACAGAGCGGTTGATGAGTTGCAGAAGAAAATAGAGAACCTGTGTCAAACCCGAAAGAACTTGCTCACTGTATTGTATTAGTGTGGACTCTATGCTCTCCTAGCGTTTTGTCTAGTTGCGTCTACTTCGCATCAACAGTAGCCTTCCCAACTCTTTCTTCTCGAGTTAATAGCCTAATAACCGAGTCTAAGGTGGAGAAAACCGGATTCATCATTGCGAGCCCTATTTTCTGCGATGATCAGTTTAGTTCCTCCTCCAGTGGCTTACAACTTTTAAGCCACTTACCTAGGAGATTAAAGAGGGCATAAATACAGCTGTACCACTTGTTTTTCTGATTGCTGGATCAGACTATCATGGAAGGAGTGGCTTTTCAATTTTCATGGTGGGTTTTTCTTGTCTGTTTTTTTATATCTGTTGCCACTCTAGTTTCTGCAATCCGAGGACAATCTTTACTACTGTGGAGCTGTTCAAGATTGGGATTTGCAAGGTGAACCTGGAACATGGAGGCAGTTCCAGAGGGATTTACAGTTGACTGGCTCCGGTGCTTTATATATATGTGGCCTTTTGGGTCTTGTACTTGTTAGGAACCAACCCCTAAAGCGAAATAGGCACGAGGGAAGAGCAGCCTACAAAAACGAAGTGGTATGTACGTAGCCAGTCATCCATAATATCAAACATTAAACTACATTATTTTCACTTTTGGTAAATTTACCGGAGCTATAATGCGATCCTCTTATTCCGCTATTTTGACCATTTCCGAGCACCTCATGGCATCTTTGGGGCATTCGATTTCTCTTGCACTGCCCTAATCCAATGCAATGGATTGTGAAGATGAAAAAAATCCTTTATTTATTGGCCCATAAACTCGCCTTCCAAAAGGCTTTCAAGGTTTGTCTCTGGCATTGAAGTCGTTTTCACCACACTTAAATGGTTTCTTTTTTCATGGTGTTTAACTTATTCAACCTCAAGAAAATTAGTTCCTGGGCTGTGTCTAACTATGATTTGGGAAAACAGCCAAATTTGTGCCTAAACTTTTTACTAGTGCTGATTTAGTCCATAATTTTTGTTTTTGGCCAATTTGATATGTGAATATATGTTGCGGTTCTAATTAAGGACTTCTGCGGCGGCGCTACCACGTAAAAGCACTCGAATCTTTTATTGAATAGCTAAATAGGGGTATTTTGAGAACTTCAAGTATGGATGTTAATAAAACCAAGTAAATCAGAAAAAAATCATTAATTTTTGGGATATTTTAATATTTAAAACTTTTTGAGATATTTTTAAAATTTTAATTTTAATTTCTTTCCTCTTCCTCTATCTTATCTCTCCCCCGTCCCTGCCATCGTCACCACTCTTCTCTCTATCATCGCCACCGCCACCACCTCTTTCTATTATCTTTTCTCTTTGTCTACTACTCTCCTCCTATTCCCTTACTAATGCTACATCTCTTGATCTCATTCCATCAAAGAAAAGTCTAAAAGATAAAAAATCAAAGTTCCCTGATTAAAGGAAGAGAGAAAAGCTTTCCATTTGTACTCACTTCGTAGGATAGGATTTCTATTCCAAAACTAGATCTTGCAATTCAACTAATTAAAATGGTGACTGCATAAGAACATTTTGAAAGACCCAAGTTCAATATTATAAGTCCTTGGCTTTTCTCCTTAGTTCGTTAAACTCTTTCTCAATTTCAATGCATTGGGATTTGTTGTCCATAGTACACTTCTAGCTATCTTTCTCATTGTTAGATTTCCTGAATGTCATTGAGATGTATCATTTCCTTGGGCAATTGTCCTTCAAAAGAAAATTTTACTACTACTGCACTTCGCTTCTCATGTCTCAAGGGAGAGGTGGGTGGCAAGCAATGGAATTTGGTGGAGGAAGATGATAACCCAAAAATGCCAAAATACCCTTATTTGTTCGGTCTATTAGGAACTAAATTGATGTTTTGTGGTGGTGCCATCACGGAGGTCCTTAATTAGAGCCGCAATATGAGTTCACGTATCAAATTGGGCAAAACTAAAAATTAGGAACTAAATCAGCACTAGAAAAAAGTTTAAGGATGAATTTGACCATTCCCCTATGATTTTCTTTGCTTTGGTTGAAGAGAAAATTATATGTCTTCCATGATATCCTTTGAACAGATTACATCTGATGCTCAAACAGTAAAGTAGAAATTTGAGAGAGAGAGCGGTATCTTTTGGTGTGGTAGTTTGTGTAATTTCCTGATAACAAGAAGCTGATTACCAAAAAGCGGATTGAATGCAATAAGAAGACCACTAGTTAGCTATAGAAACTGTAGCGCTGAGGAGGCATCCTAATGAGAAATAAATTCCATTGTCAAACAAACTGCAATAATGTGGTCTGCATTAACGGAAGGTGTAAGCCCTGTGGTACATCAACATCATGTAGTCAGGATTTTCTTTAACAGCGTGTAGCTCGCTGGTGACAGCCATTCCGTCTCTTGATAACATTTTTCTGGTTTGAGTCTCGACTCGTTCTAGGACTGTGCGTACCTTGGTTTTGCCCAATAAATCGCACTTAAGCTACCTGTATTTTCCTTCAAAAAAAAAAAAAAGAGCTACCTGTTTTTCTCTCAGTTTCAATTGGCTGCTTCCTTATCTGATTTTTTTTTCATCACATATTTCACTCACTCAACGCAACTCTTCTAAAGGTAAATGCAAGAAAAAACTTTCTATAAACAAATTGTTAGCATAATTAGAAATTATTTGTTTAGACAACGCCAGAAAAATCAGCAAGCGTTGCTGCCCATTGGCTGCAAGCAACTAGCATGGGACGCTGGATTTAGTACCATCTGCACGGTTTCACCACCACAAACTTGCACGTCTGTCGTTTTCAATATCTCCTCTTACCTCAATTTCCTTGGGGACTTTGGTTTCCATTGTCTGAATAACCTTTTCAAGATCTTTCTTTTACTCACAACCCTTTTGCCTGGAAATCCCCGTAAATTTTCATTTAACTGAATAAAAAATAATAATTTGCAGAACGGAGAAAGACAAATATGCCGGGTGGGGTTGAAGAAGAAAATTCTCTCCATATATCAAATGGCAAGAAAAGGCCGCAATCCCGAAGGTTTTTCCTCACGTTTCGGCAGCTAAATGCACTTGCAGGGATGATTGCTCTCTCTGTTATGGGCATGGTTAGTGTTGAAGATTTGGCTTTTGTGGTCTTTTCTTTAGCATATATTCACTTCTTATCAAAAGTTGCCTTTCCCCCTCTTTCCCCTCGGCCCAATCCCCGAGTCTTTGGTGAAAAGAACAGGCTTCAAGATCTCTACGTGCTTTTCTCTGGAATAATCAGTTTAGCTTTCCCATCGGCATACATAGTCGAGGGTATGTTCCGGGGATACAAAGAGGGTGTCAGGGTAGCTGCGTCACACGTCTTTCTTCTTGCTAGTCAGATATTCATGGAAGGAGTGGCTTTTTACGGTGGGTTTTCCATGCCAGTTTTTGCTTTTGTGCCTGTTTTCTACAATTCAAGAAGGATCTTTACCGTTGCGGACTGGCTGAGCAGTGAATTTTACAAGACTGATGAAAATCCTAGAAGATTGTACATTGGAAGAGGCCTTGCTGTCGTTAATATGGCCTTTTGGTGCTTCAATTTGTTTGGGTTCTTGTTGCCTGTTTTCCTTCCAAGGGTCTTCAAGGTATACTATTCATCTGGGCACAGGGATGAACACTGAATAACACTTGCACGACATGGTATAGAATGAAAAAGGGCTTATGACAAGAATCAAATTCCTACCCGGAAATAGATGGGAATCCAGATTCTCATCTCATTGTTTGGGCGGGGGTCGCATCGCAGTTTGTGTACTTGCGACCACTTACGTTAGTATTGAATTTGTACGTATTCTAAAGTATGCACTATAATACTATTAGTTTTGTACCTTTGTGTTTTTTCTTCCTTCGGGCCTTTTGTGCCATAATAGTAATCAGTTTGGACAGATGTAAACTCTCATTACTGATATTAGTTGATTATACCTCTCTTCACTCCCAGGACAGCTTGAAAATAAGGAAAAAAAAAGACGCAACCACAAGCATTTTAAGAATCATACCTTTTCGTTCATGATTTTGGTTGCTTCACTTAATTGCCGTACACATGATGTTGGCTGCTTATTACTGTGTCCATAGCAGCATAACATATGCCATTTGAAAAAGCCAAGTACCTCATAAGAAAACAGAACCTTGGTTTAGTGTATGTAGAAGTTTACTATTGCAATTCTCTTTTTTTCGCGAGCAAATTATCCAGATAATCACTAAACTTTTTTAATAGTCAAGATTTGACCACTCAATTATTAGTAGTATGTTTTTATTCATTAAACTATCAAAAGTGTAAATTTTAGACCATTCCGTCTGATTTCACCGTTAACTTTGTGTGATCTAAAGACGTAAGATTTACAAGATATACTATTAATAGTTAGATCTGGTAGAATT